GTTCAGACATTACCTGGCCTAATATAATCAGATAGACCAAAATCAATAACCTTCATGGGAGCATCCTCATCTCTAGTAGTAAAAAGAAAATTCTGTCAAGCAATCAAATCATACAAGTAATTGGTTAACAATGGAACGAGAAATGGGCATACAACAAACAATTTCTATGTGCCTATGGACACTGCTTTGATTTCCTAAACAAATATTAATTTCCAAATAAAGCAAATCAAGTAAATTATTGAAAAAGATATGCACATAATAACTACCTCTGGTTTTAGATCACGGTGTACAACACCTTGAAGATGACAAAAAGCAACTACACTTAATATCTGGATGACAATAGTTTTAGCATCCTCCTCTGGATATCTTCCACCTCTGGAACAACATAGTAAACTTTATCCTTAAAAAAAAAAACACATTAAATCTGATGGTAAAACTAAACACCACCACAAGTGGTACAGATTCGTATTTCCATTTCTACCTTGACAAAATTCTGTCTAGTAGTTCTCCACCTTCACACAACCTGTTGAAGACAAAATCATAAATGCTTTAGAACACACTTTAAATTTTCACAACATTGTTGAAAATTCATGTATACAAACCCAGGAGTAAAACTGGCATAAGTGAGAATATCATAAGAGACCATCTTCATTAATTGAATTCATTAGATTTGAAAACTCTAAACCAGAGGAACAGCAATGGAAATTTTTTGAGATCCAGAGTACTGACAAAAATGAAGTCAGTATGATTGGACTAAAACTGAATCAATCTGTAAAGACATTGATGAACCACAAAGCCATGCAAATACATCTACACGTACACAATTGAGCAGAAAACCAATATGTCAAGTCCCAGGACAGGTTGAACCATGATTCCATATGCAACTTGAAAAGAATATTACAACAGGAAACACATACTCCATTACGATGTAGACATTTTGGGCATCCTCAAAGGCATCATAGAACTTGACTAGATTCTTATGCCCAGACAAGGATTTTAATATCTTCACTTCCCTACGAACATCTTCAATTGATATTGTTGTCGTCATCTGCCAAGCGATACTCAGTTAGTTACCTATTTATCAATGACTGGAATTAGAACTTATCAACTTGGTAGAATAATTAATAGGTTTATTTGAGAAATACTAGCAAATTTTGAGTCACCTACACAACATTGAAGAAGATACCATTGCACAGGCAAAACACAAAAGTAATTGACAGCTAAAATTTCAACATTTGATCCATAGTGAAAAAGAACCAAGTCAAACACAGCATTTTTAATCATTATCACTATCAAACAATTTTTTGTTTTAGCTGAAAATTGCAGTTAACCAATAGATTCTAATCATTATGAAACACCATCCAATTTTATCTCCTAACATGGAGATGAACTAACAAAATAGCTCTTTCAGAACTATCTTTATGTACCTAACGTTACTACAAACAAGTTTCAGATAACAAAATTTCAATGTATTTTCAATCCCAACAACATTATTTCGGACAAAGACTTGACTCGAACTCTGCTACTGCCGAATTCATGACTCTTATGTGTTTCTTTGCATTGCATGTGCATTGGTGCGCCTAGGAACACAGTGTTTGCCATCTGCCATTCCTGAACGGTTTGCCGGAGGCTTGTCTTGTCAAGGCATGACCATAAGGCTGACCGGTTATGGGCTTTGACAGTATGGGAACACAAACCCCGGTTTTACCGGGGCACCCTTTTCGACCATTCGACCATTCGACCTGGTGCATGTTCGGATCCATAGTGACCATTTCAAGTTAGGACAGGCTGCTTACCCGATGTTAGGTTGTTTGAAAACTGCTGCGTGCATAGTGGAACCCTAGCTCCTGACAAATTAGGACAGGGAAACCCTACCCCAACATAGGGGTGTTTTGGCTCTCTTTACTTGCTATGTGCTTTTAGAATGTATCTCTACAGGAAAGTACATATCAGTTTGCAAGTTCGAGTATCGGACCTGAGAGTATCAGTGTTGATGAGAATCAGTTATCTGCGGGTATCAGGTTCAGTTTTGGGGACAGTGATTTCTGGGAACAGTGATCAGCAGTAGAGTACAGTTGTTTAGCTACACCCGTGTTTGATCTGTTTGGGCTGAAATGCTGTTTGTTGTCTCTTTCAGTTCGGACAGCTGGTACAGAATAGCTAGTGCTCCCCTTGCCGAGGCAGGACTTGTGATGACGCAGAATTCAGAAGAGATCGTGGTTATGACAGCTGCATTAGATCAAGGGATCACTCTGCAAGGTGAGGCCAACATTAATGTGTCACATCCACCCAGGTCGCCTGTTGCGCACCCGATTTGGGCCCCCCAGCTATACCAGGCCCGCGAGCCTACCACATTTGAACTAATGGGGATGATAGGTGATCTCCAGAGGTCTGTGGCGGATCTCGCCTACAGAATGTCAGCTTCACCGCCAGCCGCACCATATGCCGGGAGTTTTGTGCCCCAGGAGCCCCCGCTGTTGGGGCGAATTGTGATCGAACTGAGCCAACCGGAGATGGCCTCCAGCTATAGCAATGACATATTAACATCAACCCAAACCCTCGATCAGGCTGAGGCCAGAGGAAAAGACAAAATGAAGGCAGATGCCGATCCCATTGAACAACTACTGTGGGCAGTCGAGGCTTTGAAAGTCGGGGGGATGAACAAGCAACAGATATCCGCGGTTGTGGCAAAAACTGTGGAGGATGCTTTCCCCACTCCACCTGAGGGTAGTTCAAGTCAGTTGGAAAATCGGGATAGGCCCTGTCATGCCAGAACAGTTTCTCCTATTCCCGTCCCCACACCTGGGAAAGATCAGAAAGCTAAGGTGGCGCCTGTCGACCCTTTTGCTTATGCGGCTAGTAAGAGCGCTCAGACTCCAAAGTACCTGCCCCGGGGGCGCAGGACCTTTCATGCTCTCTACATGCCTCTGTCCAAGGCACTTCAGATCCTTGCTGAGAGAGGACACCTTAAACCCTTGGAGCCTCGGCCTCTCTCGAAGAATCTCCCTGCTACGCATGATGCTGCTCAGTACTGCGCGTACCACCAGCAGACAGGCCATGCTACCGGCAATTGCTTCCGCCTCCGTCATGAGGTGCAAGATTTGATTGACAACGAGGTTATCCTCCCGCCTACCTCAGCCAAGTCCGTTACCACCTAGTTATTGGATTTCGAGGACACAGATACTGCAAGTATGTGATCAGAAAGTGAACCACCTGTGGGCGACATCTGGTATATTTTGAATGTGGCGTCTGGCACGCATTTTTGAGCATTTGTGAATGCTAGCTTTGTAAATTCTGGCTTGGGTATCGAGTCAGTCTTTTGTTTTAAGTCTGTCTCTTTGTCTTGAGTCAGTCTTTTTGCTTAAGGGCCTGTCTTGTTGTAGCGAGTCAGTCCCCTTTGTATAGAATACCAGGTGATTCTGGGGTTGTCGCCTCGAACACTGTTGTGTCTTGTAATTACCCGTTTTTGTTTTTGAGTCTGTTTCTGCCGAGGGGCCAGTTGCACCAACAAATCTGAATGAAACAGCTGTTGCTATCTCACTTTTGTGCTTGTTTTCAGTATAAGTGCCAGAGGATTTGAATAGGCTGACGGTACATCTCCCTGGCTCTCCTGCGCGCCAAACTCATTGCATTAACCTAAATTTTTCAAAAAAACCCCTTTTTGAACACTGCGGTGATAAAAACGAAGAGGAAGAAATTCCTCGGGTTTTGCAAAATTTTGATCATTTTGAGAGAAAATGAGAGGCATGCTAAGCCTTTAAATGAATGAAACCATGCTTGTTAGCGTGAGTACTGAGAAGGACCCTGGCTTGATCCCGATTGGTTCCACACTATTTTCGACACGAGCGATTTGTCGCTTTCTTAAAAACTTTCAAAAACAAATGTTTTACGCAGCCCTGTGAAGACCTGTGTGGAACC